ATATATATATATATATATATATATATATATATATATATATATATAGATAGATAGATAGATAGATAGATAGATAGATAGATAGATCGATTCGTGTCTCCACATACGCTCTATTTGATATACTGAGCACTGAATATAATAATTATTGTTTTTGTTTTTTTTTTAAATCGTTTTCTTCCTATTTAAGGCAGTAAAGCCACTCAGCCACAAGGGTTTCCTGGGTGTGATATAATTAAGAACAGATACATTATTAATGAACGGGAAGAGAAAAGAATAATCATGAAGAGAATAGATTCCAAAATATATATATATATATATATATATATATATATATATATATATATATATATATATATATCTGTCGGTGAGTGGGTGTTTGTTCAGAGGGTGAATGAACGAATAGAAAAATATATACGGATTGGGAAAGATTCTGCCTTTTGACTGAAATCAAATAATAATTTTACTTAGACAATGCACTGCTCACAACTTACGAATGTTTTTTATCTATGTAAAATGTATATTCGTTTGTAATATTCGCCTTTCTTTTGCACAAATCCGTAGCAGAAAATACCATGCTACATCTGACCTTATGACTCTGGTTAGGACTTGGGTGAGAATAGCTATAGAACTGTACTAAATAGAAATAATAATAATAATAATAATAATAATAATAAATTACTAATTAATGATCTTATATACGCGGCCTCAGTAACGATGTTAGAAACAATAGATGAAAAAGTACAAACACAACGTAAACGAAAAAATGCCAGTCTGTAAAGAAATAGTAGAAATCGCCATAAATAAATTACAAGTACAATTGGTACTTTTAAGTGAATTAGACAAGGTCTCCAAAATGAAAAAATAAAAATAAAACAACTGAAACGAAACCTTGGCATCAAGAATAAGAATAACGTGCCGAAAGTTAAAGAGAAGATGAAACGACAAATTCAAGCAAAGGCAAAAGAAAATCAGACATTATGAAAAAAGAAACAAATTCTTCTGGCAAAACAATATCTTCAAATAAGCTACCAAGGATCTATATTGTGAACTTTTGAAAAATAAAAAAAAGAGATAAATGGCCCATAAAATATCCAGGATGTCGAGGAGTTATAGTGTAAGATTTGGGAAAAACTGCAAAATGCACGATGAAAGAGCCATATTGATCAAGCAACAAAAGCAACAACACACACATAATATTGTGCCGAAAATAGACAGATATCAGTATTAATGAAACGCTAGCTCTAAAAATACCCAAAATTTGAATCTTTGAGAAATGACAAGGTACCCAACTGTTGGATTTATCATATATCGTCAATCCATAATACATTTAGGCAAACTTTAACAATGATAATTAATAATCATAATAAAATTCTTGAATGGATCATTTATGGTATTAAAGACCTCCATCCAAAACATTAGAAGCCAATAACTTTTATGAATTAATTCCGTTTATATTGACTGATTGTACTTACTTTTATCTCGATATAAACAATATCCTTTCCCCTAAAAATGAAAGAATGCCGATGAGGCTCATATGATTGTAAACATCAACTACTGATAAAAAATCATCCTGGAAAATTGTAGGATAAAAGGTAGAAATATTAGTACAGCTTGGATAGATTATCATAAAGCTTTTGTTAATGATTCAGACTCTTAAATAATTAAGACTTTAAAAATGTACAAAGTTTCATCTGTGAAGTTAAATTTCCTTTAGGAAAGTATTGAAATGTGGAAGACAACATTATAACTAAATCAAGTCATAACCCCTGCCATATCTGAGGAGTAATTTTTCAAGGTGAATGCTTGTCACTCCCTTTTTTTTGTCTTTCCTTAATTCCTTTATCACATGAAATAAACAGCAATAACAATGGATAAAAAACAATGTATTTAATAACTTATTCTACATGGATAAAACCAAACTTTGCCAAAAACAGCAATAAGTTGAAACGTCTACTCAATATTGTAAAATATTCCCGTGATGATATCGCTATATTCTTTGAATTAGATAAATACGCAAAAGTAATATTTTATTTTGTCACAATGATTAGAGAACTGGAACAAGAAGAATTCATATTCACGAGTCAGCAGAGGAATTGGAATACAGCATAGACAAATGAAAGAGAAGACAAGAAAAATAATACTGGAGTATGCATCTGGTGTTAAATACTGATTTGAATTCACAAAATTGAATAATATGCCATAAACAATTTGGCGGTTCCTGTCGTACAATTCAGTTTCAACATCTTTAACTGGATCATAGCTGACATTAAGCGAATGGATGTCAGAAAGAGAAAGCTTCTCGCTTGCCATCGCATACATCATACTAAGTCTGATCTTAATCGTCTGTATGCGTCCAAATTCGAAAGAGTTCATCTGTCTTTCAAAACTACAAGAATCGGTCTTCGAAGTTACCTAGAAAATACAGAAGATAGGATGATGACCACTCTCAAAGATCATGGAATAAATAAAAAAATAACGTAATAAATGAAGCCAACAAATTCAATATGAACATTAGTAATGGATGAAGAAATGCAAATAAACTATAATACACCGACTGCAGCGTCCAAGAACATGAAAAACAACGTAATAGCAAATGCAATGTAGAAAATGCAGAAACGATGGTACGGTTAACAACGCCATGGCTAATACTCTACCCCTGCCAAACAAGCTAATGTAAACAAACCCCATACCTATCAGTGGCTAAGTGTTGCATAAAACCGAAGGTTTTATTTTTGTTTCACAGGACCAATGCCCGCTAAAAAGAAATTACCAAGCAAACATACTGAAATATTGTGCTTAACTAAAATGCAGATTCTGTTATGAATATCCAGCTAAAACTGGCCATTTTTTTCACACGGTATTAGCATCCACTTAATAAAAATTTCAGAGTTGGCCAGTATCTGATACTTTTACCAGAAGGAAACTTTGAGGAATTATGTTACAGACATAGCTTCTGTAACAATTTTATGGAACTTTTACTATAGACCAGAAAAATCACTCATTCATTGTAACGAAAGACCACAAAAATAGAATGTGCTTTCTTATTGATGCAGCAGTCCCTGCAGACTATAATGAATCTTTGAAGACCTTCTAAAAGAAAAATACAACAATCTTAAGTGGAAATATCAAACATGTTTCGCATGAAGATATATGGTGACCTCCCCGCCAAAAAAACGGGAATTTTTGAAGTGCGTATTGCGAGACATGAGCAAGTGGCAACACTGCGACCTTGAGAAAGTAAACATTTCGCCATTTAGAATTCAAGATGAAATTCGCAGTATCCCAGCTGAGATGTTGCAGCAGTCAATGACGAATCTCAACAGTAGATTTCAAGAATGCATTCGTACAGGAGGACGCCATCTACAGGACGTAATTTAAAAAAAATGAAAATTCAATCATTGTTTCTTAAATGGCATGTTTCAATGTTTCAATTACTATGGATAAAATATTTTTCTTCTATCACTCTAGGTTTTATTGGATTGTTAAAAAGTTCCCGTTTTTTGGGGTCAAGCTGTATTTATAATTCCAATAGTGGTTTGAGCCCTCGGTTTAATAAGAAATTTTTCTGAATATCTTAATGAAGTTATCCCTGGTAGTCCATGTCGTCAAAAATAAAACATTTTTCTCACCCAAAGAACTCAAAACTTACGGTGGATTTTATCTATATAAAATATGTAATTTTAAGTTATTTGATTTATTTGTTTTTAAAAGAATGTTTAGTGGAAAATATAATGATGACATTTCTGACCTCAGGTCTCTAGCAGGGACCCGGAACGTAATGTGTATACAAGAGAAATCAAAGGAAATAATACTAATATTACTAGTACTAGTAATACTACTACTAATAATAAAATGGACATCATCAAGATTTGGTTTGATTTGATTTTTAAAGGCATATCAACTCCTCATGGGTCATTTAAAGCCGAAATTTAATTTTCTTGGGGAATTTGAAGTTACAAAATCATGATGCATGTTATTTTGCTTTCACAATTGAATACATGTTAGATGATACTCTGCTTTCTTGTATTTACATGTTTATGTGGACATAATTACGAGAGGCGGTGATATGTGCTTTATGTTGTAGTTTCCTTGAAGTTAGATTTTGGAATATAGTTTGAATTATTAAAAAAAAATTATACCATATTATAAGGATTAATGTCATGAAAATGTTCTTTCATGTTGGTTGCTTGTTTTGTTTGGCGACATATAAACCTCTATGGGTTATTTAATGCCAAACTACAAATATTTTGAGCACAATATTATGGTTTCAACTAAATACGTACTATAAATATGTATTATTGGTAATTTTATTACAAATAAGTATTGTTGGTAATGTTTTATATAAAAAAATGTATTGCAGATATTTTTACTATAAATATTTATTTTTATACTTTCATAGTATTTTGTTTTTCTATGAGGACAGTATTTGCCCATAGCTAGTAAACCATACCACCCCGGTTCAAGATGGACATGGTAAAAACAGCAATTCCGATGTCGTTCCACTGTCCTCAAAATTTCCACTCTCCCGATCAGAGGCCTTGCTGCCGGATGTACTTTATCGTCTTACTCAGGTCTCTTGAGACCTGAGTAAGACGATAAAGTACATCCGGCAGCAAGGCATAATCTAGGACTTCAATTGGGAATGAAGTACGAGAGAATACGAATACCAAGAAGAAGAATGCTCAATAATGAACGATGTGATGACGATGAGTAAGAAACAGGAAATGAAGAACAATTTCATTCAGGAAGGAAATTAGAGAAAATAAAGAAATGACGGCGAAGAAAGTTCAATAAAGAACGTTATAAAAGAGAAGAAAAAAAAGAGAGTTATCACTGATGAACGACATATTAGATAAAAGTGGACACAGTGTATAAGAGACCAAAAATATTAAAAGCATAACAATAGGAAAAATTGTCAATGAGTGATCGGAAAAAGATGAAGAAAAACTTGTAAAGTGTCAATGAGTAACGATATAAATCAAGATGAAGAAGAGGAATAAAAGTTATAGCGTGAAGAAGAAGAAGAAGAAGAAGAAGAAGAAGAAGAAGAAGAAGAAGAAGAAGAAGAAGAAACATTGTGTAAGACGACATCTTTGTAAAAATAATAAGTATAAAAGGGCGTAGAATATTTGGTGTAAATTAAGAGTATTTAAAAGTAAGAAGACAATCTGACGAAGATAGAAAAAAACAAACTATTATTTGATGAAGAATATTAGAAAGAATAAGAAAATGAAGAAACCTAAGAAGGAAAAAAAAAGAAAGTGCAAAGGCATTAATAATTTTTAAAAGTGTTATATGACATAGACATTCCTCGGTTTGAAAGAGAAGACGAAAACAAGAGAAAGCTCATGCTGTAAAGGGAAGGGATGTGCGTGCGAAGTAGATGATAAGTAGCGAAGTGTGACGAAGTTGAAAATGATAATGGAAGGCTCAGACGGGGAATGGCTGACAAGAGAGAAAAAAAAAAGTAGATTAGCAGCTGAAAAAGAAGGGAGAGCAGCGGGAAAGGAGTGCTGACAATTGAGGAAGGTAAGTCGAGTCGCGGGATCACATGGATGATTTTTCAGAAGATGAAGTCGTGTCAGTTGACAAATAGTGAGCCTCTCAAAGAAAGGTGGCGGCCAAAAAAAAAAAAAAAAAAAAGAAGAAAAGAAAAGAAAGGGCGTCACGCAAGCGGAACTCAGAGGAAAAGCCTCTTCGGTAAAGAGAGGAAACGTTAGAAAGTGGAGAAAACAAAATTGCTGAAACGTCATCTGGTCTTTTATTGAATCTGTTACCAGATTGAGGTGGGGGAAAAGGCACATAAATAGCTGTACTTTTACAGCGCGTAAACGAATATATATATATATATATATATATATATATATATATATATATATATATATATATATATATATATTTAGGCAGCAACCCTTCCTTTATGCAAGTTTCATTAAAAACGACAGACAAGGTACTACGGTTAAGCTTTTTATTTAATTTTTCTCGTGTTCTAACAAGAGCTTTCTTTTCTGGACAAAGGGTGTGTAAGAACTGTCCAAATGTTCTATATTTCCGAGCACTTTCGGCTATACCTTTAGCCATTATCAAGGATGATTCGATTATCAGCTTAGTAGAGAGTGTGTGTGTTCTGTGTATGTTCATTGTGTGGTAGTGATGTTTTTAGTTTCTGAATACGGTTAGCACATTGTGGCTTTGTTCATAGTTAATATTGTTAAGAGTTGGCTTTTTCTTTTTTATTATTAGAGCTTCCATTATTTTTAGTCTTTTTTTGCAAGTGGATGCAGTTAATATATTTGCGTTTTCTATTAGTATGTTCTTAATGTTGTCGGGTAAATCTGAGTGTGTGTTTAAATGTGTTCCGATGGAGCTGTGATCAGATAGGTGTAATGTAAGGCGTCTGGATAAAGATGTGGTTGTGTAGCCCATGTAATTATTTATATTATATATATTCCTGTGTGTTATATAGGTACAAATATTTAAGTAAATATTCTGTTTTTAAAAAAAACAGTATTAACAACATTTACCGGCCTCAACTTTCGAGAAATATTCATAGAAAATATGTGTCCTTCGATAAGTATCGAACGTGTATCATAAGCGGAACAATCATATAGACGGGAAATAGCTGACAAGTTTAGCTACAGAGGAGAGTCAGGTTACCGAGATCGATTTTACTGCTTTTAAACTATAATTTTCCATGATGTCCCTTGAACGATCATATCTATACGAAGCGTATCTAAACGCAAACAAATGACGTCACACACTATGAAATGGACAAAGTCCAACAATTATTTAAATATATGTTATTTTTATACGTTATTTATATAGACAAAATATTTAACGTTAATAATAAATAATATTAACAAAATTTATCGGCCTATTAATACTGTTTATTATAAACAGACCATTTGCTTAAATTTAAGTCTCTAAGGATAATGTATTATAATAAAATATCTTAAAATAAAAATATCTTAAAATAAAATATCTTAAAATAAACTGTTTCGTAATATATATATATATATATATATATATATATATATATATATATAGGTTGCGTCAGGTATTTGAAGAAATTGTTTGAAGTAATCATATTATCATATTATTTAAGAGAATCAACAATATTTTCTTCCAGAATATAGTACACAGATAAACAACACAAGTCTATTCGATACAACAGCTATCAGCTTCGATTACGGCCATGATGCGCCTTGTAGTATTTTATTCGGAAAATAATGTCCGATTGAAAAATCAACTTTTACTCCTGAAATAATGTATTTAAACAATGTTTAAATCAATCAAAACATGAATCCTGAACATCTGTATATTTCCGCCATCGAATTGTATGTTCATTTAGCCTTTACGATAAAGCTTTCAATGTTTGTATATCAATAAAACTTTAAATGCAGTTTCTACATATTTTTTGCAACAATCATTTGACTTTTAAAACATGGTGAAGGTTATTAGTGGCCGAGAGACCAGGGAAATATGCTGGGTCTGGCAAAGTGTCGTATCCCAAGTTGGTTATTTTCTTTACTGTAATCCTGTCAATATGTGTCCGAAAATTTTCATGGATCGGAATTGGATTTCGTTTTTGAAAAAGTTCTCGCCGCATTCTACTTAACCAGTTAATGACAGTACATCCCGTCTGTGATTCTCTGATAAGATTCCAGAAAGCTATATTGGATAACCCCAACAGTGGACTACCAGACAATCACCATAATCTTATTTTAATTTGGCACCTGGTGTTTTTGTTTTTTTGGTTTTTTTTTGTTTTTTTTTTAATAATTTTCATCCAATACAAAAGCCAAGCAAAATAGCAGGTTACTGTGCAATTATTTATGAGCCTAAGTAAAGTGCAGTAATGAGTGAAGTTAGCAGTTGGCCCTGCTCTTGAAGAAAGCAAGTTTGTAATGATCAGAAAAACATCCTGCTATTCCACAAAGCAGCAGTTCTTGGGAAGAAGCAATCCGAACGGAACTTGTTTTGTTAAAACTGTTTTATTTAAAAGATTATTTATTTTTTTATTTAAATACATTATAAATGTATTTTGACTACACATGAAAATAACATTTGTTATTTATTTACGCATTACTAAGTCTGTTCCACTCTAATTAGAAAGGAACTATTTCAAAATGTCGGCACGCTGAGTCATTGTATTTATAATAACGAAAAAATAAGAGATTTCGGTTCCGTACAAAATAAAGAGGCACGCATTTTAAAATATTGTGAATTAATTGATAAATAAATATTTGTTTTGGGTACTTTCTTTCATTTGGATCAGTTAATATTCACGTACAACCTTTTTGTGTTATTATTAAAGGAAGATAGAAAATTGCCGTCTACTTATATATTATATGTATCTATATGTATCAATACGGTATTACGGTAATTATATGTATGTATGTGTATCAACACGGTAATTTTCTCTCTTCATATAATAATGACACCAAAAAGCTTGTTCGTGAATATGAAAAGATTCAATCAAGTATAACGAGACAAAAAAAAATTATTCAATAAAATATGTATCAATGAAAACATGTTGGCAGTATATATATATATATTTATATGTGTTTATATATATATATATATATATATATATATGAAAAGTGAATATAAATATAAATAAATATATATATATGTATAATTATTTATATATTATATGCGGTATTTATTAGAAAGCGCTCAATATCAGAGATAGAGCTAACATATTTGGTTGGGTAGATGTGAGTTTGTGACTCTGGGTTTCACGCTTTAGCGATCGTCAGACGATCGCTAAAGCGTGAAACCCAGGTCACAAACTCACATCTACCCAACCAAATATATATATATATATATATATATATTTCAAGTTTTCTGTCGGAGTTCACCTTCTCAGAATGAGATTGAAACTATATGCAGGCAGAAGGAGAATCGTTTGTGTGTCTAATGGATGGATTGTGAATAATATAGTTTATATTTTATACTTGTGTATATACATACATACATATATACATGCATATATCCATGCTTTATATATATATATATATATATATATATATATATATATATATATATATATATATATATATAAATATATATATATATATATATATACATATATACATATATATATATTTCATAAATACATGTTTAAACGTATATAAATATATATACTATATATATATAAACATATAAATATATTCATATAAATATATATATATATATATATACATTTATATTAATATAAATATTTATGCATATATATATATATATATATATATATATATATATATATATATATTAACGAATATCAAGAAAAACAATATTTTCAACAGTTTATTGCAATAAATATGAATGAATTGTTAAAATTAATTTGCATAAGTCTTCAAACCCCTCGCAGTTAATACATTTGTCAGTTTCCTTTGGCACTGATCATTTAAAATCATTCGAAATAATTATGATTTGATGGCATCCGTTTATGAATAGTAATTATTAATTCATGCTACAAATGTACAACTGGAATTGTTCAGTTTGTTGGCAAGAACTTTCTATTATCCGAACTTTATTCTTCGTAAATCATTCTGAATTGACTTTAGTAGTCAATTCTTAGAGGATTAGTCCTCTAACAAATGTTCATTATTGGTGGCTACAATCTTAACAATATCGGCTATACAGTTGACACAGTTCTGATAGCAGACACAGAAAGGAAAGTATAAAATCTTCAGAGGTTATCGAATGAATATGAGCAGAAAGGACTAAGCATGAACTACGAGAAGGAAGGAAGGTTATCAGCAAAAGCATGAAGCCAAAATGCAAAGTAAAGGTCAGGGATACTAAAATCAGGTCGTTACAGACATTAAAGTATATATTGTATCTGAGGACGAAAAGTGAAACACTAAGATCTGTTGGGATGGCCAAAGTGGTATTCCAAAACCTAAGCGGAGTATTCAGAGACAGAAAAATGTTGTTAGAAACAAAGAGTACTGAACTGTTACATGATATATGTCCTCTTGCTTGGCAGCGAATGCCGGACAATATCCTCAAAGATGAGGAAGAGACTTGAAGCACCAGAAATGTGGTTCTACAGAAAGATACTGAGGATACAATGAGCAATAGCTATTTTTCTTTTTTAGAGAGAATGGAAGAAAAAAGAAACATACTTGACATCAGAAAGAGGCAATTGAAATTTCTTAGGCTCATAATGTGGAAGGATGCTTGTAAAATTTGATACCCACGGGACCGATTGAGGGTAAGGGTGACAGGGGAATGCAGCCTGTAACATACTTTATGGGCTTGAGCAGATGGATGGCAGAGTGGTAATAAAAAAGATACGTCTTATTAAGAGCTACAAAGAACAGGAAGATGAGTAGGGCTGTGATCCCCTCTGTCATGAAGGTTCATAATTGAAGAAGAAAGACTTATCTTTTGGGTTGGCGTTTTCTTGGGAGATAAACTTTCTACCAATTTTAATCTGGATATTAGACTTTAAAAAAATATTTTGATAATTTTCTATTATCGAAAAACATTTCCTTTTCCTAAATTATTAGGATAGTTTATTAAACCAAACCTTTATTAGGCTGATTCATAAATAATTCCCGTTTTAAGTGTTTTTTATCAGTCCATTCAGTTATATAGTTATCATTATTCACAAGCGCATATAACAATGTTGCAATTGCCTGATAAGTGTTATCAAATGCCAAAATGGCGGGTGGGTTAAAACAAACCAACAGAGTTGCAACATTTTTTCAGTATTATTTTGGCCAGTTTGCAAACAAAG